AATTTGTGTTGGCAGGGGGCAGAGGTCGACATCCGTGGTTTCGGGGTGGAGTTTCATCAATACGCAGATGACACCCAGCTGTACATCTCCACCCTGGACCACCCCGATGCCGCGGAAGTGATGTCCTGGTGCCTGGAGGCCGTGCGAGTCTGGATGGGGAGGAACAGGCTTCGATTCAACCCATCCAAGACCGAGTGGCTGTGGTTTCCGGCGTCACGACATAGCCAGTTGGCTCCATCTCTAGCTATCGGGGGCGAGTCATTAGCTCCCGCAGAGAGGGCCCGCAACCTGGGCGTCCTCCTGGATGCTCGGCTGTCTTTAGACGATCATGTGACGGCCGTAGCCAGGGGGGCTTTTCATCAGTCTCGCCTGATACACCAGTTGCGCCCCTTTCTGGATCGTGACGCCCTACGCATGGTCACTCAAGCCCTCGTTTCCCGCCTGGACTATTGCAACGCTCTCTACATGGGGCTCCCCTTGAGGTGCACCTGGAGGCTCCAGCTAGTTCAGAATGCGGCCGCACGGGGGATTTTGGGGGCCTCTAGATACTCCCATGTAACACCTGTCCTGCGCGAGCTGCACTGGCTGCCTGTGGCCTTCCGGATGCGGTTCAAGGTGTTAGTAACAACTTTTAAAGCGCTCCATGGCAATGGACCTAGGTATTTGCAAGACCGCCTCCTACCAAATACCTCCCTTCGACCAGTCCGCTCCCACAGAGAGGGCCTCCTTAGGGTGCCGTCGGCCAGTCAATGCCGGCTGGCGACCCCCAGGGGGAGAGCCTTCTCTGTGGCAGCTCCTGCCCTCAGGAATGACCTACCCCCCGACCTACGTACAACTACGGACCTGCGCCTCTTTCGCTGAGCCTTGAAAACCCATCTATTCCATGCGGCCGGCCTGGCGTAGTTTTGATTGTGTTTTGGTAGGGGTTTTTATATGGGGTATTTTAGAGCAGACTTTTTATTTAATATTTATTGTGATTTTTATTATTGCCTGTTCACCGCCCTGAGTCCCGTAAGGGAGATAGGGCGGTATATAAATTTAAATAATAAATAAATAAATAAATAAATTTCAGACAGAGATGTCCAATTTATATCCAAGTTCTGGAAGGCCTTTTGGACCATTTGGGCACAGAACAAGGCTTGAGTTCTAGTCATCATCATCAAACAAATGGGAGGACAGAACGAACAAACTCAGTTCTAGAACAATACCTTAGACGTTTTATCAACTATCAACAGACAATTGAACCAAGTGGCATATAACAATGCTATCCATTCTAGTCCTGGATACACTCCCTTTCAAGTAGCTACAGGATGGTTGTTTAAACCAATGCCAGAACTGCCTACTAATGAACCCACCATCCCTTCCCTTAAGTAATGGATGAATCAGTTACAAAACACCTGACTGATAGTAAGGAAAGCTTTGGACGAAGCCAGGGATGCCTACAAAGCTCAAGCAGATAAGAAAAGAATATAATCTAAACCTTTTCACATTGGGGACAGGGTTTACCTATCCACTAGGTTCTTGCAGTCACTTCAACCTTCAAAGAAGCTAGGGCCCAAGTTTGTGAGGCTTTTCCTATCAAACATATTATAAACCCTGTCACTGTGGAGTTAGAACTCCCAAACCTTAAGGCAAATCCACCCTGTGTTCTATTGTACCAGAAACCAGAAATAACCTCGCCTTTAAGGCCAAAAGCTCCTCCTGCACCACAACCTATTATGATTGAAGGGGAGCAACACTTTGAAATCGAAGAGATCCTAAATTCCCATAGGCACCGTGAGGCTATCCAATATCTGGTGGCCTGGAAAGACCTTCCAGCCTCCCAAAATGAGTGAGTACATAAGAAATATTTTAGAGCCCCTAGATTACTCAAACATTTTCATGCTCATTACCCAGATAAACCTGATTAACCTATTATTCTCTTTCCCCCCCCCTATTTTATTATTTTTGTTTCTACCGGTGAACTTCTCCTTTTAAGGAGGGCAGCATGTCAGAAACCCCTTCAATGTTTCTTTTTGGGGCTCTGCCATTCTAGTGGGGGGGGAGTTTTTTTCTGCTGGGAGGGGGCTTGTGGCTGTACTTCATCTACTTTGTTCTTCCTCAACTTTGATCTATCTTTGATGTGAAAAGGGGAATGGAATGTGCCAGGGGGCATCTGCCTTATATCCAGTCCGTTGCGAGATTTGGTGAAGCACCTGGGAACCATCCCTTATCAGCTCCGCTTCCCATAACAACTTCACACCTGTGGATTGGCTGGATGCGAACTGGACAGTTGGACTCTGGGGTGGGGTTTTGTGAAATGAAAATTTTAATGTAGCAATTCATGCGGGAAAACTTTAGATCTTGCTTTGCTCTCTTGCTATCACTATCTTTCAATAAAAGTTCCTTTTAAAACAATGCCTGTTTCAAGAGTTCTGCTTTCTTGGAAGAGTAGTCAAGGCAGGACCTTACAGCTGGAATTGTGACTGCATCAAACCCAGATGCTCACATGTTGATCCAGACAATAGTGGTTTCTGATTGGCTTCCACAATCTCAAATTCAAGTATGTGGATACTCCCACGCATGCTGCATTCTGTTTGGAAAAGTCCCAATGATTCCATTACTTCTCCTGAATATAACTTCAGTTTGGTGCTACTAGGCTGAAGACATTTCTCAGGTGCCAGTTTCATTTTGTCCTTTAAACTCATGACATCACATGTTGCACCTGAGCCCAGCTCGCAGGGTTGGATTATATTGTTTAATCTGAGATTTATGAACCATTTTTTGCCCCTAGAGTTTACAGCACCAATGCATTCTTTTGTATAAACCACATTGGTAGTAAACAAGTATGCATCCTCGGGATCTGTCATTTGCTCAGTTGTGTGAAGCTTCCTTGCTTCCATTTTACTTGAGAGACACTCATGCAAAATGATTTAATCTCCCACATGCTCTGCAGGTTTTCCCATATGCAGGACACTGCTCTTTCTCTCATACATGCACACTGCCACAGTACTTGCATGATACTGGGATGCTCCCAGGTGAGTTGTGTAGATGAATTTTGTGCTGATGCTTGTGCTGGTGGTTCTTCATGCTTAGCTCTTGGAGACTACACTGACACTGCCAATCTCTTTATCCTGCTCCAAGGCTCTCAACTGTTTGTCTGTAAGTTCTGTGGTACGACATATCTCAATTGCAGCTTGTAAGCTTAAATTATGTTCCCTCAAAGGTGGTGGTGTGTGCTTTCACTAGTGATACTCAGAACCAGTTTATTATGAATAAGTTAATCTCTCAGAGAGCCATAATCACAGCTTACAGCTTTTTCTCTTAGCTGGGTGACAAAACTATCTATTGCTTCACCTTCTTCTTGATTACAGCTGCCAAATTTGTATCTCTCATATATGACATTTTAGAGGGTCTGAAAAAGACTTCTAAGGCATCTAGGATGGCTTTAGTATCACTCTTTTGCTCCTCTGTAAAGGTTAAATTATGCTTGTAAACATGGAGGCATTCGCTGCTGATCAGCCATCTCAGTGTGACTGCCTCCACTACTGCTGGTTTGTCATTTAAGCCTCTGGCTAGGGAGTAATCCTCAAACTCTGCTCTGAAATTGGCCCAGTTACTGCTGCAATCCCCACTCATCCTCACTGCCTTAGGCAGTGGAGTGCTGTTAGCAGCTGCCATGATGCTGGTTTCCTGGCTTCAAATGCTCGGCTTCCAGTACACGGCCGCAAGTGCTAAACTGGCATACATCAAATGTGTGGAGACAGATTCAGATGCTTCTGACACCATGTTTCATGTGGAGCCAGTAAATACAATTCAAGGCCTCACTATGCAAAAGCCATCTTTCTTAGAGAGAGGTAATACAACAACAGGAAAAGGAAATGCAGCACAGGAACAATAGAGATGAATCATAGAGTAGCAATATGACACAGGAAACAAATACAATAGAAATGAATGATAGAGCTACATATAAGGTAAACATAACACCCATAACCAGTGCTTCTTTTGTAAAAAAAAAAAAAAAAGAAAGGGTGCCAGAACTCACACGTCATACAACCCGCCTTGCCTACCCTACAAGGTTCCATCCAAAAAATGGTGCCGGAACTCTGTTCTGGGCATTCTATGACAAAAAAAAGCCTTGCCCATAACAATAGAACAAAGGAGCATTCACAAGCAGACTAATTCCTACAGCAGCATCTATATTGCTCAGACTCCTTCATTTTTGCAAACATTGGAGCTGATTTTTCAAAACAAGGTCAGGAAAAGAATGTTCATTCCCCAAACTCAAGGAAGTTGATATTAGCCAAAACAGAAAAGAAGAAATAAGCTTCCAATTAATCAGGACTACAAAAGAATTAGGAAAAGAGACTTGTACTTGACTTGTTTTCTATGGAAATTGGCATGGGACCAGTAAGTCTCTTAAACATATTTAAAACTAAAATTGGATTAATATGCAATAGAATATTATTCCATAATGTACTTACCTGAGCTCAAGTAATTGGCTGAGAACTACTTGCTGCATAAAGCCATAAGGTTTCCTGTTTGGTTTTGACTAAGCGTAATGTATAAATCCATTAATAAATTTTGATTTATTAATTAGCACAATATATGAACCCTGTGATTGAGATTTACTTGAATAAGCATAAATAATATATTTATGTAAGTATGCATCGGAAAGCCCCCTAAATCTCTTTAAATACTAATCCCTAATATTTATGTTTTATGTTTCATACACACAATTTTCAGACTAAAATTCTTAAACGCTTAAACACTAGTAGTAAAAAACAGTAGTTCCAGTGGAATGTGCTTCTCAGTATACATACTATATTAAGACTGTATTGCAAACATATTGCAATAAAAACTCCTCCACATGCATAACTAATCTTGTTCTAGAAAGTCTAAAAACTTTAAATCTATTTTCATATTTGGTTTTTAAAAATCTAACTGACATATTAGTATCATTTTTAAAAATAAGCATGTCTTCCCCAAAAATATAACAGCTAGGAATAGCAGAACCTTACCTCTCTTTTCTCTTTGTTCTCTTTGTCTTCAGCATCCCTTTGCCAAACACTTTTCATATCAAAATCAAAAGGACCCATTTTAGGTTTATAGCTGGATGATTGATCAGTCTTAAATTCTTCATGAATCATGTAGTCTGGCATTGCTGGAACATGAGGTCTGGAGGCAAAAATATTACCATTATCCATACAGCTTACCTTATAGCATTTGCCATCAAAGTGCAAGACATAAACAAGTGATGGAACATTGTTTTTAATTTCAACATTCAAGAAACCCATTTCCTCATTGTAAAATTAAATTAACACTTCTCATGAAGACACAGAATACTTACTTAGAATAATCAGTTGCAGCTTGTTTGCTATGATGTGAGTACCATTCAAGTGCACCATAAGGCCCCAGGGATACTTTTCGTGGAGTAGGAGTAAAATGTCTCAGTAAATCTTAAACCAAAGATATTTAAAAATATAAAATATACATTTAAACAACTGCAGATTTAAAAAAATATAATCAAATAAGTTCTGTTTCTTGCACACAGTTAGAGCAAGGGATAAATATTAAAAATGCTTTTATATTATTCCACTAAAGGAAAACAATATCTAAATGATTTTGTTGCAATCTATTCTTTTTTTACATTTTGCTTTTAAAATCTATTAGTGTGTATCTGAAAGGGGAATAACATGATGTGGGAGATGATGTTTTAATTGTTTCATATTATGCTACTGTAGATTCCTTATAAAAATTACTCTACCATGATATTTGAAATATATATATAATTTTATTCACCTTTCAGGAAAATAAAAGGAAGAGTGAAATCTTTAAAATGTAAAAGAAATCAAAAAGCCAACCATAGTTTTTTTAATATCTATTCTAATTTAACTCAACATTATATTTAGATATTTCAGTATTGTTTTCTAAACAGAAGCATATAAAAGGAGCCAGCCATATCCATCTCCAGAATAATCTATTTTGCTCTCCTTTCATTTCTTGTTTCGTCTCAGCTATATGTACTTTAAGACATTGAGCATTGCAGATGGAGTCACAATCTTAATTCTCTTTTTTATTAAAAAAAACCCTATACTTCTGCAAACCTCAGGGTTCTTCCATACTTTCTGATCACTCCCTCTTGTACATGCTTCTTGCCAATTTGATTAATAAGCTATCAGAGACTTCCCTGAATATTGAAAATAAATTAAAATAAAATAAAAAAAAATAAAATAATAAAAAAAATAAAATATAAAAAATAAATATAAAAAATAAAAAAAATAAAAAAATAAAAAAAAATAATTTAGAAACTGGAAATGAGAGTATTCAGAAACAATGTCAAGAATGAAACTTTGGCAGCTATGTGACTTTTTATTTCAACTTGCCATTAGATTAAGAGGGGGAAGGTGTTGCTTTAGAATGAGTTAGAAGCAGAAATGAAACCTCTGTGATTCTGCTAAAGACTGTGAGAGCCGGAAACCTTTCCAAGGACATTGCAACAGGTATGGAGAGGAAGCAGACGGTTCCCATAACAAAGTGAAATTGTTTACATGGACTACATGAAAGGGTGGGGGTTAATAGTTTAATTAATTAAACTATTAGACTATTAATAGTTTAATTCTATGAACTGATGTCTGGGAACTTCAGAGTTAGTTTTGCTTCGACATTACCATGCTGTGTATTCAATACACAGTAAGATTTTCAAAACAGAAGGAACCTGGAGTTTTATTTGGATTCTCGAGCTGGATGTTGACAAATATGTTGATTTTAAAATGTAAAAGAAGTTACTTTATGGCTTTGAGTAAATTTAATATTTAAATTTGATACTTCAGGGACTCTGTTCCAAGATAACCAGATGTGAGGTGTTCTAATTGAGATTCAGCATAAGGCAACAGTTGGGATTGTTGGTGTTATCATCCTCCTTGCTAGCTGACTCTGTTGCTGGATTGGCAGGAGAGTCTCAAAAGCTGTTGATCTATGGGGGTTTCAATTTGCTCTCTGGTCACTGAGTTTGGGGTGGCTCAGAAGATTGTGGCTTGTTTATTTGGATCTGTCCCAAATAACTGACAGCGAAACACATGTCAGTGTTCACATGCTGGGTCTAGATTTTGTCCTGAGGTGGGGATGCACATTATCATCATTTGTGGACAGATTAATCCATTGGTTGTCTTTTGATTCTCTTGTGATTCTCCCTTTCCTTCAGAGAGACAGAGCTTGTTCAACTGGCTTCTTCCAGGCAATTGATGGACCAAATGGGGTTTTAAAGAGAGCTTGGGGTTTTCCCTGAAGGTCTAGCGGGCAATTTGGCTCAGGTCCTAACTGCTGCCTGGAGTGGATGGATAACTAGCACCTTGGATTATATTGTTCTTATATGACCTCTCACGATGCACTGACTCTTGGTGTCATCTGCAAATTTAATGAGTTCCCCTTCTATCCCCTCATCTAAATCATTAATGAAGATATTGAAGAGTACTGGGCCTAAGACAAATCCTTGGGGGTACCCCACTGGAATTGAAGCAAAAAAACAAAAATAACATGATCTCATAGAGGTCTAAGCTGCAGTTTGAGATTCATTAATTATTAAGTCTTCAACTTTTTTTATCACACATTTGGTTTCTTGTACATTTCATAACACTGTTCAGTCTTAGAATCTGTAGAAAAAGCCCTTGAGAAAGTAAGACCCACAATGTCAGCTGGAAAAATAAAATGTTCATGCTTCTCTTCTCTCATATTCTACCTTCAGTTTCCAACATTTCTAACATTAACTTCTTTCTTTGTCTCCACATAAAAATACTCACATCAACCTTCTGAATAGCTTAAATATTTGTTTAAATTAAATCACCTGGTTGACCTCCTTGCTTTGCCAGTTTTACATATTCTGAGTCAGTATCTTTGATCCACTTTCTTCGACCCCCAAAGGTAATGTCATTGTGAGGATCTCCAAAATCACCAAGACATCGGATCTCAGACATTGGTTGTTGTGCAACTTCTGAGCTAACTTGTTCCTCTGAGTGTTTCAGGGGGATGTGATAATACCAATCTGCAATAATAATAATGGAGGATGAATATATTAAAGACTATATGATCAAATGGGCAACATTTATAACACAATGCTTAGTTACAAAATAATACTTGATCTATGGGAGAATATGTGGACAGGTTGAAAAAAATGGAACTTTGTTTTTATATAGACAACAGCAGCAAGAGTTCTGCTATTGGACTCACATATATCCACAATGTAAAAAAATAGATGATAAAATTAATGGAGTTGAGAAATTGATTGCTTTGAATAAAGAAAATACTTTATCTAGTTTTGTTTCTTCTTGGAAAGCACTCTTAGATTTTTGTTTGAAACTAAAATAAATGAAATTTTAACCTTATATTTTGATTGTATTTATTTATCATGAAAGAAGTGCTTATGTTATAGTTTAGTCAAAGGATTACTGATTTTTAGGTTTGTATCTGTATTGAAATAAGTTGAAAGTTATCTTTTTTCAATAGTTTTTCCCCTTTTGTTTTTACTTTCCAATTTATTTTCACCTTTTCTTTTCCCTTTTTTAAAAACTCTTTTTTCTTTGCTTTTTATGCTTCTTTGAAATTTAATGTTTTGAAAAATAATAAAATTTGGAATATATAATGACTAAGAGACCCCGTAAGCTTTTGAATAATATGCTAGGCAGTGGTGGGATTCAAATTTGCCACTTCCGAAAGTCCATTCTGGGTCTGGGCAACAAAAAATTAGCTACCGATTCTGTCAAACTGGTGCAAACTGGTGAATCTCACCACTGATTCTAATAAAGCGCAGGGCTAGAACAAAATCAAAATTGGATACAAATTCCTTCAATACTGTCTGGCTTAAAATCAAAAAAATTACATAGGGTGATTCTTCCAAGCTGTGCTTTTTTAATTGTTTCACATCTATAAACAAAATCTTGCACTCTACTATCTGTATCTATAATATACTCTATCAACTATTAAAGAGGGGCTATCTTTACCCTCTTTCTCTCTCAGATAACATCTGAAATAAGTTGCCTCCTATTTCTTTGGAGCGCACCTTCTCGGTCTTGGAGTCCATAAAATTAGCAGTTCCCCTATGTCATTCATAGCTTGAGTATTTCTGGCATGCAGGGAAGTACAAAATAACAGTGATTATCAGAAGTTTAAATAGAACACTACACTATACTTGGTTTGAGTACAGTTATTTATTTATTTATTATTTATTTATTATTCCAATTTGTATCCCGCCCTTCTCCCGAAGGACTCAGGGCGGCTCACAACATTATTAAAACAAAGAGAGACCCACACACCCCACCGAATAAAACCAAATTAAAACCAAAATTTTAGTGTTGTGTGATTAAAATTTCTAAAAAATCCAATTTAAAAATCCTCCCTAGGCCAGGCCCGCTTGTTGGAAAAGCCATGTCTTGAGGGCGCGGCGGAAAGTAAAGAGATCCGGAATAATCCGGATCTCGGGGGGTAGTTCGTTCCAGAGGGCAGGGGCACCCACAGAGAAGGCCCTCCCCCTGGGGGTCGCCAGCCGACACTGCTTGGCCGACGGCACCCTGAGGAGACCCACTCTGTGGGAGCGTACCGGTCTATGGGAGGGAATCTGTGGCAGCAGGCGGTCTCGGAGGTAGCCAGGTCCT